TGCCAAGCACGTTCCTTCAAGTTGGCTCCTAAAGCTCCTTCATAACAAAACGAACAAATCCTTCACAATATTTTCATTTATTCACTCAATGCTCTTTGTTGTAACCATGATCCACTCAAGCCAATCCCCACTGCCAGAAAAATGCAGTGCCACGTTTCTGATGGCAGCAGACCGAGCGTTCTATGCTAATAGATGTTTTAACATCGATTTACACACACACACACAAATGAACTTGTTTTCTTTTCCTATCCAGTCTTTTTATAGGTAAACATAATCTTAATTTAGTAAAAAAAAGTTTAAAGAAAGGGGGTAGGGTGAGGCTAAGGACATATGCTACATAGCTCTTGACAAAGATAATAATAAAGGTAGTATTATTTTTAGAAAACCCCAGAGCCATCCCCTTTCTGAAATTACATGACATTCACGCTGTTGTCAAATAAGCAGGTAATCTTTATCTGCTAATGAAGAAAGCAGCCTGTTGCCAGAGGACTGTGACAGTCTTAACAAGTTTTACAGAAAAGAAAAATACTAGCAGATAACAGGTATCATGTTTTCTTTTGGCAAATATTAACACTTCACAGCTAGCATATCTTTCTTACTTAATTGGATCTATAAAAAAATCACCAGGCCATTTCACTTGGAGCTATTGAAATTCCCTCAACCTGTTCTTTACAGCTTTTCCGAGTATGGATGGGAAAACAGCTACAGAACAGCTGAAAAGATTGCTAAGGTCTCAGGTCTTTATTTACAGACCTTACCGTCTATGTGTGTTTCATTTATTTTGAAACAAATAAAGTGAATAAATCAGGAAGTTTATTTGTAAAAACACACATACACACACAACAACAACAACAACAAACAACAGCAATGACAAAACACAAGACCAGCATAAGAGTAAAAGAACAAAATATATTGGCTGAGTCAGGTCCCAAATCGTCTCTCCAGCTTTCCCACACTCTCTGAATGCCTCCAGTTGGATCAATTGCTCTGAGTTTCATCAGAATTGGAACCTCTCTCTATGATAGCATTTGTCACATGTGGCATTGTTCTATGGCATTTTGTTTAGATGTCTGTATTCCTAGATAGATTATGACTTCATCCAAAGTAAAGAGAGTGCTGTATTCAGGTTACCAGCACTTGGCCCACATTATGATTAGGCAAATAGATTTATTAAAATTGAATAGGAGACATAGAGAAAAAAGAAGAGAAATGAAAAGAGAAGTGGGGGAAAGGAGTGGGGAGTGACGTGCTAGGCTCAGGCCACAGAGCAGGTATACTACAGAGAATTCAATAAGGCTTGGGAAGACCTAGATAGTCCAGGGAAAGCCAAAGAAAGAATGTCAGGACCATTTATAAAAATCAGTTATTGATCCTAATATTCTTTTGAGTGATTATTTTGATTATTATTTTTTATTGTGAAAATACTGTACAGAGGGGTTACAATTACATGGGCAAGATAATGAGTACATTTCTTTCTTTCTTTTTTTTTTTTCTGGTCGTGGGGCTTGAACTCTGGGCCTGGACACTGTCCCTCAGCTCTTCAGCTCAAGGCTAGCACTCTACCACTTGAGCCTCAGTCCCACTTCCAGCTTTTTCTGCTTATGTGGTGCTGAGGAATCGAACCCAGGGCCTCATGCATGCAAGGCAAGCACTCTACTACTGAGCCACCTTCTCAAAACCCAATGAGTACATGTCTTATCAAGCATTGTAGCCTCCTCCTTTGTTTCCCTTTCCCATTCCTTCCCATCTTCCCCCCACCCCCAACATGCTTTCATTTTTTGGACCATTTTTATGTCAAGAACTGTTGAATTATATATTTGCTCATATATTTTGACAATGAAGAAAACCAAGGGCTTGAGAAATTCTAATCTAAGTAGAGAAAAAAAATCCATGTGGTGTTATATATTATACTTCTGTAGCCCTTGCTTTTCAATTATCTGCTTCCATCTACCTAACCTTCTTGTACTAAACAAAAACAAAAACAAAATATTAGACTGGATCTTCCTGCCTTCTGAGGACTTGTTCCTCAAAAAAGTAATTTCCTGGACTTTTCAACTTGTAAGTTCTTCTGTTACAAATTTTAGTGAAAAACATCATGGCATTTCTGTGAACTTCCTTTTATAAAATTTTTAATTGTTATTATAAAGGTGATGTACACTGGGATTACAGTTTTGTAAGTCAGGTAAAGAGAACAGTTCATTTTGGAGAAAGTTCTGACCTGTTTATAAACTGATTTTAAGAGTACAATTGGGCATCCATATCTGTGAGTTTCAAAACCATGTATTCCATCAACCATTGAAGACTGTTTTGAATGAAATGAAACCATACATGTTGGGAATATGTACAGAGTTTTTCCTGTTATTATTTCCTAAATCACAGTACAACAGCCATTTAGGTAGCATTAACATTGTCTTAGGTATCATAAGTGATCTGAGGATGATTTAAACTATGTGGTAGGATATGTGTAAGTTATATGAAGATACTACACCATTTGTTTAATCAACTAGAGTATCTGCAGTGTTCGGTATCCGCAGGGATTCCTGGAAATGAACCCTGGAAGATAACATGGGAGAACTACAATTGTCAGGTAATTATCTTTCTCCTTGCCCTCTGTCTGGCTCCCAAGTTTTCTGGAAGGATATGACTGTGGTTATTATCTTCAGTCCAATGGTCCTGATGGATGACACATGGTGAGTGTTACCTGTGAAAGTATTTCTCATGATTGTGGTGGAAATGGTTTGGTTAGCATGCTTGGGCTGCCTTGACATTTACAGAAGTGATAGGAATCAATGCTCTATTTTGACAATTTGGGTCCAAATTCTTGTCGACTACCTGGAAGAGCACCAAAGGGTCCCCAGGGCTCTAACCCTGACCTTCTTGGACAGTTGATTTGATTTGAACAATCACCTCTGTGGAGCTGGGGACCAGCCTGGTCTAGAAACTGCAATCACATTGAAAGCTGCTTTGTTGGGTCAAGCGGATTGGCAGGAATGAAATGTTAACTTTCTAAAGTTGTTCTCTTAGATCTATCCTAAAGTAGTAAGACAATGGTATAACTTCTCAGGCGTCCACTTGACAAAAGGTACTAGTGTTTTTCCTTGGCATGGAGAGAGGAGAAGAAAGGGTGTGGAGATTCTGATCCCTGGTTTGGAATAATTCAGGCGATTACAAAGCAGATTTGTCTTTTATGACAGTGCCGTTCCCAAGTATCTCTTTGGGAAGCCTTAGACCCCAATTGTCTGGGAAACATAAAATCAAGTCACAATTGCCAAAGCTTCACACACTGGGGCATGGGAAACACAAATTAAATACACTAGAATGTCTGGTTACACACTTGCTTGGCATTTAAGTACAATTATTAGAAAAGGGAGCAACCAAAAGATTTTTGTTATCTTGCTCAGGTTTGGTGAGAGAGGAAACTTTGAGTCTCTTGAAGGTTAAGCATCTTTATCCTTTCCAGCTTGAATTAAAGGTATCATATAAAATAAGGTCAAAACAAACAGGACTACTTAACCTAAACTCACTAGTTTTATTTTGCTCATGGGATTCATAATAGTTTTGACATGGAGCATTTTACAGTGCATTGGACATGGGGTTCTGTTTTATTACTGGATTGTTTGTGAAGGAAGCCGAGCCTTACCTAACAAGTCATTCACATCTCTTCTCAAAAGTAGTAAATTGATCTCAATCAAGTCTGAACCTGATGCCAGCCTCATTGATGGGCTTGTGATCTCTGATCTTTAGTGGACAATTCTGTTAGTGTTTTAAACCTCAACCTACAAAGAGGATTCTCCTGGGCTGAGGAGTTACAGTTATTCTATACAGCAGGGATGGATGTGGAAACCAATCTTTAAACTATGTGTCATGCATTACCTTGAGCTACCACAGTGTAGGTGGTAAGGTTTGAGGGGTTCAGCTCCACTCTCCCTATGCTGTGTGTAGGAATATGAGTGTGAAACCCAAGAAAGGAAATTCTCCTTACATAGGTTTACCTATCAAAGGAATAGTGTCTTTAATGAGCCCCAGAGATAGCAGAGGTTCTTTCTTGGTTCTTGAATGAATGCTGAGGTTGTAATAAAAGGCATCAATGATCAGAGGATATACAAATGTGTGTGTGCATATATATATATACATACATACATACACACATACATATCACAGAAAGCTCACTACCACAATTATACTCAGCCTTGCCTTGATAACAGTAGGAAAAGAGCCAACAGCTTTCAAGCTCTGAGCCCTGGCTCTGTGTCAGGCACCTTATTTGACAAGTCCATGTAATCTAACTCTAAGTCCTTTCCTATGGGCATTTGTGTGGATATGCAAGAGTTAAGTGTATTTTGTAGGCACAGACTTATCTTCTTTAAAAAGACAAGGAAATGAATCATCTAGCTCAGAAAATACAGAATAACCCCTCAGTGGTCATAATATTGTTTTCTGTTCCCTGAACATTGATGGATTTGACAAAATGAATCCTCTAATACAAAAACTCCCCTTATCTCAAAACAAAGTGATTCTAGTAAGCTCAGTGGAATGTGAATTGCTCAGATATGATATACAATTGATATCTCAGACAACCACCTGTCTGAAATTTTCTTCTAATAACTATTTTCAAAGAGATGGCTTACATTGTAAATTCTATTAATATGGGCCCCTAGATCTGAGGTTTAAGAGAAGGAAGGTTAGCACTAACTTTTGTTGGATGGTGACAGTGATGCCTTTTCCTCTTTAAAGTGGTGGTGGTCTGCTGCCCTCAAGACCAGTTAGTTTGCAATAAGAAGTGGAGAGCAATTAGAATGGACAAATACACCAGGGAAGTTTGATTTATGTAGACAACTTCTGTGGGAGAAGCCAGCTGTGGGTTGGGTAATGTTCATATTTATAAAGCACAAGAAACCTGGATGCAACCCGAGATGTACAGAACATTCTTAAACGTGTCTTTCTGCTCTGAGTCATTTCAGTAAAGTGGTATTCAGGATTGGAATTCGGCATCGGCTTACCCAATGGAGGTCATAGTCAGAAGGCCTCATTCTCGCTTCCTCATCGTCATACAAAGGGAAGCCCTCCCTCCGGGCCTGATAGTACTCCTTCCGAAGCTTCTGGATGCGATCGCTGCTTCCACTCACGGGACCGCCACTGCAGCACATAAACAGACAGAGTTATATGGAAGTCACTCTCTGATCTTCCTAATAGAGGGGGTGACATCCAATATGGAAAGTTTATCTATATGGGCATTATATATGGATAATATATATAATTAATATTTTCTGTATATTATTCGCATATCTATACATACATTTGCATACATTTCTGAAGTAGTTGTGCAACTGGGTTGTTTTTATCAACATGTCAGTTTGTGAGTACAATGTATATTGATCAATGGCACTCTTTCATCATTCCCATTTCTTCCCATGCCACCCATTCCTTCAATTTACCTAGTTCCATTTACACACACACACACACACACACACACACACACACACACACACACATTATGATTGTATTTGCCCAGATTTCAAGTGTGAGGAGTGTGTTTAAAGGGAGAAGGAAATGGAGAGACAAAATGGAAAAGGTTTGATAATACAATTCAAATATTCTAAGAAAGTGGTGAAATCAGTAATAAAAATGAATTTAAAATGGTCCTTATGTACCTGCCTTTAGAGGTAATGACTGAGACATCTGACTGGGGGATTAGTAAATGCTTTAAAATGAGAAGGTAAGATAAAGTCCTGACCTTTTTAAGCAGTGGGAAATGTTTCTTTCCTTCTTGGAATCGTACACACAGAGTGGTAAGATCTGAATGTGGTGTCTCATTTTCTCAGGTGGCATGTGCCACTGTGCATTTCAATGAGACTCATGAAATTCTGTAGGGGGTGACAGTGTAATGCAGGTCAATATGTGTGTACAGCCTATGCATAGAGAAGGAAAGAAGGTAAAAATCACACCAAAGATAAAAACAGAAGAGGGTGGGAAAACTGGGTGATCTGTGAATAGGTGCTGGTATTGCTTGTCCAAGGTTCTCCTCTCTCTGCTTTAGCTACTGTTTCCTCTTAGATCATTCAGTCCTTTCGGAAGTAATTAACTCAGCCAGCCCTGCTCTGTTTAGCAAGTAGCTCCCTTGGGTTTGGATGGATTTGCCATGGTCATTTAAGAAGAACAAATATCAGATGATATAATCCAGGTCTTGGAAGCAGGAGAAGCATGATATACAGATCTGAACTATCTCTCAACTTCTTTGGATCATTTGAGGCATTTGTCCTATTGTGTGCGCTCTTATACCAAAAACTGGGGATGTAACAATGAACATTTCTTCATCTTTACCTGCAAAAGTCACAGTGTCTCAGAGGTAGGAGACAGAAAAGAACATAGCACAGTACAGGTCATTATGGCAGGGATCTGTGTGAGTGATTAAATTTGGATAGGGTGAAAGCAGACCATGGAAGATGACATGAAAAGCTCCATACAGTAGGTAGCACTGTAGCTGAGTCTTAGCAGATAAATAGGTGCTCAACAAACTGGGCAAATAAATAAGATAATTCCAAGGAGCGAGAAGGAGAGTCCAAGCAGAAATGAAATGAAGGCCAGCAGATGGAATGAGCTGTGGTCCTCAGCTTCTTCCATCTTCCCTATCTAGGACCCAGATCAAAAGATGAATGTTTCCTTTCCTTTCTCAGTTTCAAAGGCAATTAGAATAAAATACAGTCCCATTCATTGACTGCAACCTTGGGGCTTTTTAAAATTTACACTAAAACAAATGACAAAAACATACCACAGGTAAATTTAGGTCCTTTAACTATGTTTTCTGGGTGTGTGAGAATCAATGATATAGCTTTGAGGGACAAGTGAGTTTGGAGAGACAGTGTGAGGTGAGATGTTGAGTTTTAAATTTCAGTAACTGATTTTAAATTTCAGGTATCTGATTTTTTTTAAAAGCAAGAGTAAGAGACCATTGATTTTGTGGAATTCTTTAAAAACGATTTAAAAATTGTCCTAGGAATTCGTGAAATGAAAATGTAAGTTGGCAAGGTTTGGAAGGAAACAGTCTTCCTGAATGAAACTGTAAGTCAATGGAAGGCTGGGACTGGGCCTCCTATTTGTGTCTGTCCCTCTCAGGCTCTCCATAGCGGTGGGCTTCAGGCTCTGGCCTTCCTGGTACAAAGCAGACACGCAACAACTGATGCCCTGCGTAATACAAATCCTGGGGGATCACAAGCTTTTATTTTTCCTCTGTATTTTCAAAATTATTTTTTATTATGAACCATTTAATGATTTAATTACACACGCCAGAGGGTAAACTAGAGATGCAGAAAAAAAAATTCATCTGTACTTTAAATGTTATCTTATGTTAAAGCCTTCAAAATAGTTTTTGTTCTCTTTATTTACTATATTTTTAAATGTTTAAATACATTCTCTTGGAGCACTTGAAAAAATATCACAGTGAGAGGATAACACAGTCCTGTGTGGCTTTTTGTGGGCAGGGCAGGCAGGAAAAGCAGTTCAGGAAACTGAACAGTTTCCCTGCTTCCAAGTAATTTGAGATGAAAATGGTGGCTGGATCCCATGCATAGTCTTCGGTGCTTTCAGGAACTCATGAGCTGTGTTCAAACTCACCAGATGAGTTCAATCAACGTGGTGCAAACATCGCATACATAATCTATTAGTTTACCCCAAAGAAACTGAAGCATTGAATTCAAGTAGAATGAAGTCATCAGTAATAAGGGGTGGAGGGGGAAGAAGCTGAAAGAAATTGATAAAACACCATTAACACACACACACACACACACACACACACACACACACACACACACACACACACACACACACACACACACACACACACACACACACACACACACACACACACACACACACACAAAAACCAAGCACCACAAATTTCCTCTATTTGTGGTGGGAGAAAATCACTCAGCTATAAACCATTTTTCCATATGCCTATAAATACATAAATTTAAAAATATGGGTTTGATCAGATTGCTGTGTTCAAATAAGGGAATGGAGCAAGAATACAAAATCAGCTGTGCAGGATTCAAAACATCCCTGACGGCTAACAAGAAATGACTGTTTACTTGGAAAAGAAATCTGGCCTGACTGGAAATATAGAGGGAAATTTATGGAGCATCTTAGTGCAAAACAGGCTGTTCCTTCCCTCTCATGTGAATATTTCAGAGAAGATATGGAAGCTGGACATGGTGGCAAATGCCTAGAATCCCAGTTACTCCAGAGGTATTGGTAGGAAAATCAGTCTATCAGATGCAAAAATGTGAGAACCTATGACACGGCTCAATTGATAGGACACTTGCCTATATGAGTTCAACCCAGCACCACTCAAAAGAAGAATAAAGAAATGTTGTCCAAGACCTTAATGATAATCTATGATAACCTAGGACTACATGTCAACATCATCTCTGTTTTTCCTTCCCAATTTTCATCCTACCTTGACTACCTATATAATATTTTCCCAAATGTTTTATATATTAAAACTAGGAGTTGAAAATAGATTTAACGTTTTAGCTCTTCTCAGCAGTACTCACGTACTTACTGAATTAATAAACATGGCATATTCATTATTGTCATCAAAGCAATTCATTGATCTTGTTTTGTGAAGATGTAGAAATTTAGTGATTTGTTGCTGGATATACACTTATAATAATAGCAACAATCAGACTAATGGTTATAATTTATGGAACACTGAAATAGCAAATACTCTGAGGCAAACTTTTATTTTCTCCACTATCTGCAAATCTATCTATCACAGTATTCTTTTCCAATGGTCCCAAACCTAGTATCAGACTCCTTCTCAGCAGAACTTCAAAAGCTGCTATCAAACTACAGGAGCTGGCACTTCAGTTGAATTTAATTATTACTCCTGTGCAAATACCTCAAAAATCTCAAAAGAATATTGAAAGGTAGATGTTTTATTATTTTGCTCAATAAAGATGAAGGATACAAGGATGTTAGGAAACGGGTGATTACCAAGGTTGTCCTGACTTCACAGACTTCTCTTCTAACTATAATTTACCAATCTGCTTCTTCATTTAATTTATATTTTAGAGACTGAGGTCTCTAGAAAGAGACTGAATCAGCACAGAAATTTAGACTCACCTGTAGGATTATTTCCGTAGGATACCCATTTTCCTTCTGTATATACATATCCTTTGTGGGATTTTTTGCCTTTGTGGAATTTAGTAGTCCACATTCTAGGCAATTCTTTGTGCTGATAGCTTCAGAAGTGACATCAGATCATGTTATAATTTAAATTACTACTGGACCTACATAAAACCTGTCAAAGTATCAACAACTCCATCTCCATGTAGCTAGCTAGAAAATTATGCTTTCTGTATTGTTCACTGGCTAAATAATAGGTTGGACCTGATCGTTCAAAGAAAAATATTCCCATCACGACTCTACCCATATGTAGGTAATCAATGTCAGTCCTATGCTTTCAACATGTTGAGATTTTATGTTAAAATTAATTCAAGCAGTGTAACAAAACATTTATATTGCAGTGATTTCTTGTTCAAGAAAGTACACCGTTGATGACTTTGACAAAGGTATTGTTAAAAAAAAAAAAGCCTTTGTTATAACACAGAAGAGCTGGCGAGAGCTTAAGGGTGGAATGCATTTGAGAAACCTTGGCATTTTCCTCAGTCATCTACCGTCATAACTGACTAGCCACCATATGTGGCAAACTTCACACTAAGGCTCTATGTTCTTCTTTGGAACTGGAACCTATTCTTCGTGGTTTGTGATCCTTCAGTTGGAGTGCTACTTACAATGAACATTCACTTGTATCTGTGCCTGCCTCCTGCTACTGTAGCTGCAAACAAGAAGGTAAACCAAAGTTGAACGAGCTTCAATGACACCCTCAACACAGTGCTCTTCAAATCGCATCTCATTGAATCCTCAATCCTATCTGCCAGGGTGCCATTGTGGTTGACTATTCCTAAACAAGTACACTGAGGCTCAGAGAAGTTAAATAATGTAACTGCAGAGTGGTAGGCCAGAATGTGTCTGCCTGCAAAGCCAGCACAGTTTCAACCAGATCATGTTGCCTTATGAGAAAGGCATTAAAATGCAGCAGGCATTTTGTAGCAGCAGTTCACAGGCATTTCAAAGCA